TGTTTAATATCTATCCGAATAATGAAGTGTCAAATACATTTCAATTTGATATAATAAATTAAATATAAATTTAAACATTCATTGTTTGCTAAATGTGAAATAATTTGTATGTGTTATTTTAAAAAATTCATATTCATAACTGAAATGAATAGGCATAATTAAATACTATAGAACAAAACTAAAAGATATATTTCATTAGCATGAACTAACAAACTTTTTTCTTAATAATGAGAATATTAAAATAAATAATACCTTAGAATAAGAATGAATTAAATATTTTATATAATAAATAATAAATAAAAAGAAGATATAAAATACAATTCAAAAAAAAAAAAAATAAATAAATAAAATCGATATATTCATTTTTTGAATTGATATTATAATATTGCTTCTTTTGGTAAACATTTCTTCGTATTTTCTATTCCATATTATTCTTCATTCTCAAAACTCAATCATAGTATTTTTCTATTTTAATTTAATCCTTTTTCACATCAACAATTATAAAAACAACGTTTCACAAATGCTATGGTTGTTATTTAGATAATAATTAATTCTAATTAATTACAACATTAAAAATATCTTATTATCATGCATTTTAACATCGATTGGTATCATATTTCTTTACTCTATTATATTTTTTATTCTATATTTTTACATTTATTTCATTCTCTTTCTCTTTTTAAACATGTGGAATTATTTTTTCATACCATGTTACATATTTAAATATGTTTTTAAACTTAAAATATTTCATATTCTTCGTTATAAGTATGTACGTTTAAATAACATGAAATAATATTCTTGAATAATGGATTAAATGAAATGGATTAAAATGAAATTATTCATGTTTCATTGAAATATTTTAATACAATTATAAATTAAAAAAGTTATTACTATTATCAAAATATTTTGATATTACCATTATTTCATTAAGTTCTATTTTTATTCAACATGTTCTTGTGTTATTATTATATAGTATTTCACGATACTTAATACTATTTCTCTTTCTTCTTCATATTCTTTTTTTATCATTTATATTATTGCTATATTATATTTTCTTTATTCTTTATTTTGACTATCTTCTGTATTTATTCATTTTATTTCATTACTTTTTTCTTTTATGTTACTTTTCTTATATTCTTTATCATTCTCATTTTATTTATTTCAATTTTAATGCTTTCTTTTCACATTTTCACATTCTTATCATTTTCAATAATTTATTCACTTGTTTCAGTTTATTCTTCTGTTAAAATTCATTTCTATCAAATCTTTCATAACTATTTCATCTCGATATTAATTCTTAATGTTATTTTTATATTTCATATTGTATTTATTTTCAACTTAATTTAACTATAACTTAAATCTGTAAATTGAAAACATTTCATCTTTCTTTTACTTTTTGTTATTTAATAAATTGTTTTGAAATAAATAATATAACGAATTATATTATCATTATTATCGAATAATGTTAGTGATTCTTTTAAAGAAAATAAAATAACAAAACAAACATTCAAGAATATACAAAAGAATGAAACTATTGGTTTTGAATGAATTGAATCAAAAATTAATAAAAGAAGAAATAAAAATATAATAAAAGTGGCAAACATTAGAGTAAATAATGAAAAGGAATATGGATAGTATTAAATTGTTACATAAAAAATTAATAAATGATACATAAATATGAAAGTTAACACTATCACATAATGAAAAAGTAAATAGCAATTTAATACTAAATAATATCAAATTGAAAATAACACTACAGGTAATGATGAAGAATATCTTAATATCAAAAATAACGTGAAGTAAATTGAAATTATATTAAAACAAATATCAATTCATTCTCTTTTTCGTAATTTATATCATTTGTTATATCACTGTTATTAGAACATAAATACTTTAATTATTAATAAAATTATCAATAACATACATTATTAAAGTATTCAAATTCTTGTTATATCTGATGAAATGTACTTATAAGCTAACTATGAAAATCATGTTTTGCATGATTATTTCAATATAAATTAAATTCAATTCCTTTTTATTATTTTTATTTCATTACTTTATACAATTTAATAAATCGTCATTTCTTATTCTATAGTAAATAACATCATCTCATCTTTTTATTTGAAATGGTTGTCTCTTCATTTTTTTTTCTGAATAACTCCATTACGTTAATTTTTTACTTATATTAATTCACATTACTTCAATTCTTATTTTTAAATTGTTCATTCTGGATTTGTTTTGTTTCTCCTTGAAAAAAACTTTCACATGAAATATTGAACGGAGTTAAAACAATCTTAGAATATTGATATGTGCAAATAATTTAAAAAATGTTATTTTTTTGTTTTTTTTTTTATGA